ATTAAATGTTACTTGTATTATATATCGCGCAATTCTGGCCCCAGGTAGTACAACCTCACGAATCACATCGCTTATCTATCAACACTAATCTATCTTCTATCATAAAATCAGCCAATATACTTAGCATAGACTAGTTTAGTTACGACTGTCGCGAGATGCACGACATGCTTTGATCGTGTAAATTTTGATAGTACTTGCCTTATCTACCACACAAATTGTTGAATATAACAAAGAACCGATAATGATGCAACTTGTTTGTCTACGGAGCATCATCGATTAAGAGATACGAGTATGATATCGTTGTACTTCATTAAATTAATAAAAGCGCGAATTCGTTGAAACGATATTCACAGAATTTTACAATCGAGTTTCATAATGGGTTAAGAGAGGAATAGGATGGAAGAAATCGCATGACGTATTTGTCCGCATAATATCTTGAGATTACAATGTCCATTTTCACGTTGGATGAAATGGAAATTTTAGCCAACTAACATGGATACAGGGAACACGTGACCAACGCGACGAGAAACTCAACTTTGCATGATGAAGGGCGAAACATATCCAGAAACTTAGTTTTGTCATTGCATAAACACGTTACGAGTTCTACCATCGATTCAGTTAGTCATTATTCAACTTCAACGCTTAGGAGACGTGCGAAAAGAAAAACTAGAAAAATTTCTAATTTATTTAAATACCAAATGAAATAAGGCAACTATAATAGACGTAACCTATTAATATTATGTACGCTAGTATCTACTAGTACTGAGATTTATCAAAGACAATTATTATTTCATCTTATTTTGAACAGCACATGATCGCTGATTCCTTGGAATTCCTTTGAAGTATGCATTGTCAAAATTAAAACGAAATTAATTCTCTAATCACCTTTTTTATTCTATGAGATAAACATAATTTATTTAAAAATCACTCATAGTTTAATTAAAATCAAATTATTATATTAATATTTCATAAATATTTCCTTCTTAAATTTAAAATATTGATGGAGTACATAACAGTTATCTTTGTAGATAGAAATCATTATTTTAATTTTTCTTTAACCATACACTACGCACTATTTTGCAATTAATTAAATGTTACTTGTATTATATATCGCGCAATTCTGGCCCCAGGTAGTACAACCTCACGAATCACATCGCTTATCTATCAACACTAATCTATCTTCTATCATAAAATCAGCCAATATACTTAGCATAGACTAGTTTAGTTACGACTGTCGCGAGATGCACGACATGCTTTGATCGTGTAAATTTTGATAGTACTTGCCTTATCTACCACACAAATTGTTGAATATAACAAAGAACCGATAATGATGCAACTTGTTTGTCTACGGAGCATCATCGATTAAGAGATACGAGTATGATATCGTTGTACTTCATTAAATTAATAAAAGCGCGAATTCGTTGAAACGATATTCACAGAATTTTACAATCGAGTTTCATAATGGGTTAAGAGAGGAATAGGATGGAAGAAATCGCATGACGTATTTGTCCGCATAATATCTTGAGATTACAATGTCCATTTTCACGTTGGATGAAATGGAAATTTTAGCCAACTAACATGGATACAGGGAACACGTGACCAACGCGACGAGAAACTCAACTTTGCATGATGAAGGGCGAAACATATCCAGAAACTTAGTTTTGTCATTGCATAAACACGTTACGAGTTCTACCATCGATTCAGTTAGTCATTATTCAACTTCAACGCTTAGGAGACGTGCGAAAAGAAAAACTAGAAAAATTTCTAATTTATTTAAATACCAAATGAAATAAGGCAACTATAATAGACGTAACCTATTAATATTATGTACGCTAGTATCTACTAGTACTGAGATTTATCAAAGACAATTATTATTTCATCTTATTTTGAACAGCACATGATCGCTGATTCCTTGGAATTCCTTTGAAGTATGCATTGTCAAAATTAAAACGAAATTAATTCTCTAATCACCTTTTTTATTCTATGAGATAAACATAATTTATTTAAAAATCACTCATAGTTTAATTAAAATCAAATTATTATATTAATATTTCATAAATATTTCCTTCTTAAATTTAAAATATTGATAAAGACTTTAAAAATGTTACTACAGAAAAGAGTTTACTTTGTAATACTCCATAAATTTAATTAACAGACGTAATAAAAAAAAAAGAATACCTCGTTCGTCTAAATTATTTTATGACTTAATTATTTGTTTAGACAAAATACGCGTTCTCAGGTTACCCCGCGAAGAGAATATCCAGTTTGAACGCACCGCGAATCAGTTAATTGGTTTTCGGCGTCGTCCAAATTGGTCGGTATATTAATTAAAAAAGCGTCGAGGCCAATTCCCGAATTAAAGTCCCGAATCTATTGAAATTATGTTGAATGATGCTTTCTAGTGGTCCTCGGATCGACCGATGGATTAAATCATCATCGTGTTCCCCGTGATATCTACACGTTGACAAAAGTGATTTAATACACTTCTTAAATGTTAGACAAATAATTACATATTAAGCAAGTTAAATAAAGAATCTTATAATGCTTCAAATTTCCATTTGCCAGGTGATATCGTTAATTTTAACGTGTCATTGCTCTTGCAAAAGACTTATCTTAAAAGTTAAAATTTAAGATGGTCAACTACTTTTGTACTTCATCAAAACAAAATATTACTGATGGTTCAGTGAACCGATTATCTCTTTTCGTACCTTATCCGGAAGCGATTGAATTCGATGTTCACGATTAATGAAATTTTCCCCGTCCGTGCCTGCGCGATTTCTTTATTCTCCCATGCATTCTCTACCTTCCATTTAATTCCGTTCGTTCCGCTTTCACGAACTATCCCCAAAAGTTGCACGGTTTGTGTGTTCGGAAATTTAAATTAATTCAAGTCGGAAGAAATAGTACGAGTAGTCCCGAGTTAAGTAGTTATCGTATACTATTAAATCTACAGCGTGCAAGTTGATGAGAGAAGATGTTTGTGAACGAGTGTGCATGTGAGTATGTATTTAGAAGTACATGTATTCTTAAACGCTACATTCGATGATCGATTATTACGATTAAGCTAGTTACTCTAGGTATATTAATGAATTGGATTTGAGCCCTACAACTCGGTTTTATAGTTGCAACAATAAACGCGATGAGTATCCGTTTCGAGAACTGTTTACTGCATGCTCTAATCTTCCCTTAAGTATAAATACACACAATTGAGTTTCATTGCGTGCTACTTTATTAACTGTGTTCAACCCCTTTAAGTGGTTGTACCATAATGTTTACGGGGTTAATTATGTTGCGTATCAGTGTACTTACCATCTCGGAAAAACCACGAGAAAACGATTAAATCGAGATTGACCGTTTCTTTTACACGAGTCTGTGAAAGACCATCGTTTCCCGGCATTGTCATTTGTAGGAAACTTTAATTGACCGAAATAATACTTAATCCCGCGATTACTCACTCGTCAATAGACCGCGCAGGCACACGGCTTCTAATAATACTACTCTTAAAGCGTATCGATTATTAAAGCACCATCTAATTAATTCTATTATCTATGTATAATTAACTGTTAGCCCTCGTCTTCACTAGTATAATAGACGCGTTTCGTCGCGTGTAAGAGGTGTTCGTGTGATCGAGGACACGCGAGTAGATAAAAGCGTTACCTTTTTTTGGTCATTTAAAAGCACTTAACTTAATATGAATTTTCTCTTGATTTCAAATTAATAAATAAATAACCGTTAGAGATAGAACTTAATTATATGACCACAATAATCATTGCGTACCTCACCAGCATAGATTACAAATAAATTCTTAAGTTTTAAAGAATTGTTACTTGACATTTTTATCCACTTGAATTTTCAATTCTAACCAGCGGCCTCGAAATCGATCGGATCGTCGATCACGATTACCCTTAATCGTGTATTCCTTCATCCCCTAATGGATATATTGCTTGGCCAAGCGTTAGTGACGTCACACTTTTTGAATTGACTAGTACCATTATGTTTTACTTATATATCGAGGGTTTGTGACTTGGTTCCGTACGTCGTCCTTCGGTCACAGTCGCCACATCATTTGCGAGTGACGAAAGACGAACCACATAGGCAGGGGCGCTACGCCCGCGCCTGGCAAAGCTTCACTTCCGTTTTTTATCGTACTAGCATGCATCGTAGACGATAGTATTGACTAGACGAGTTGTGACACGCGAATGGCAACGTAGTATATGAATCGCGCGAAATCGTGCTCAAATTCGTAGACTTCTCACCGCTTTACAGTTCATTGTACGCGTACAACGTACTCGATACTCGATGGTGAAAATGACTTTGTATAAGAAACAGTAGTATGCGCGCTATCGAATCGTTAAAAGATGGATTTAATGAAAGGATCGTGTCGAAGGCGTCGAGTGATATAAGCTCATTCGTGGACGTTCTTAAGGAGTTAAAAGCATCATACGTTGTATCTGGTTTCCTTCATTATTGACTTGTGCTTTCTAGTTAGACAAATAGAAAATAAACGGAAGATGGGTTTTACACTTACGCCACTCGACTTTTTGTTTGCCACTATGCAAGATGTTAATATCGTTAAGGTCAAGAAATAATAAAGTATAGAAAATCTATTGAAGCTTATCTAATTTGCTATCTCATAAACAATCTTTTTTATTATAAAAACGGTATTATATACGAATAAATAAATATACCTTGAAAATTCTTTATACAAAAATAAATCTTGTACGATTTTTTACAATCTGTGTAATTTTAATCGATTAAAGTGAACTATGTATTTATAATAAATTAATAAAGCGTATAAATTATTTCCAGTATAGTAATTAACATCCTGCATAAAGAGAGCACCCAAGTCGATAATTACTGTCAAACAGACATCAATGAACGACATATGTAATCTTGTAAATCACTGATTATAATACTTAAACCTACGATTTGACCCAACCCCCGAATCTCGAGTACGCCTTACAAAGATTTTCGTGTCCTCACTTGATCATGATACTCACTGCCGTGGATCCCTGAGAAATCGTAGACTCCTTGGCTGCCTCCTCGACCTCCTTAAGTTTTTCTTCAGCTTTTCGTTCTTTCAACGTTTTCAGGAGTTTCCACTTGGACCCGGGTGGTCCGGGACTCACCTGGCCGTCCTTTAGCGTCGTGTCGGAGCTACCGCAGGACGACGAATCGATTTTGATCTTCGGTAAGCTGATGGTGGCTGTCGTTGCTGTCTCGGCACTACCAGCTCCATCGCGTTCGAGGCCTTCAAGGACAGTGCTCTCTGAGTCCCAGGCACCCGGGATACTAACCGACACCTCGCTAGCCGGTACACTTACGCTACCTTCGCGAGAAATCGATTCCGAGCCCGGATGAATCTTCTCTCCCTGACGGAACGTCGAACCGCTGGAGCTGCACCTTGACGTTTGTTCGTCCGTGTCCTTCGGCAACTCCTCTTCCTCCTCGTCCATAGATTGTACGGGACTGTCGGGTCCAGAAGTCTCGCCGGAAGAACCCTCCTCCATAGGTTTCTCTTTTTCCTTCTTAGCGTCTTCCTCATGTGCCCAAGTATGATAATCGGTTACCCTTGCAAACACTACCTCTATACTCTCTGCGGATTTTCGTTTTGGAATCGGTTTTTCGTCACGATACCTGTCTCGCTCCTTCGTACCGTTCACCTTGCTTCGTACTTCTTCTTTATCGCTTATCTGATCTTTAGTCATCCCAGCTTTTAGCTTCAATTCTTTTAGTACAAACGACATCTTTTCCTTCACCACCTCGTCAGGTTTGTAATGATCAGACTCCTCAGGTTCTTCCACCAAAGCCTCGCCCATTTCTACTTCTACCTGCGACTGTCTTTCGAGTTCCTCCAACTTTCTCAATTCGTACCGATACCATTCGTCCTCGGAGTCGATCGAATCCTCCGTGCTTTGCCTCCTGGAGGAAACTCTTGAGGTGCTACGATAGGAATGTGTACTCCGGTTGTCTTCGTCCAACTCTCCCGGCCTCGATCCTGTCCAAGGAATCTCCAAGGATTGTTGATGTCGCGGGAGGAATCGACTTCCGGACGTTTGTCCCCTCGTGCTTGACGCTGATGGGCTACCTTCCGAGGGTGGAGCCTCCTCCGATATACTGGTCACCAGTTCCGGAAGCCTGGTGCTACTAGATTTCTCGCTTTTCTCGCTCTTTTCCGACATATCTTCTGGATATTCGAAACTAGCCTCCAATGGTTGGACACTACCCTCGTCGGACTTCTTCTCATTACCATCCTCACTAGGGGGAAGATCATCGGACACCGTCGACGATTGTCTCTGCCGATATTTGCCCAATGCTCTAGACACCGCGAATTCCATGCTTGCACCGCCCATTATAGTCACCGGCGGGAGCTTCGGAGCTTTCTCGTTGGGTGCTTCATCAGAACTGCCTGTGCATCGTTTCAGATCACCAATGGTTTGGAATATGGAAGAACCACCAGAACCGGAACCAGTACTCTTACCTGATGTTTCCTCGTCGAAAGCACCGATTTGGTCAAAAACTTCGTGCTCTGTCTCTTTCTTTTGTTCCTTTTCTTTACCCCAACCATCTTGGAGAGCCTGTTGCTGCAACTGTTCTTGGTGTTGCTGAATCTGTTGCTGAAGGACTTGCTGCTGCTGCTGCTGCTGCTGCTGTTGTTGCTGTTGTTGCTGCTGCTGCTGCTGCTGGGGTTGTTGTTGTTGTTGCTGCTGCTGCTGCTGCTGTTGCTGCTGTTGCTGCTGTTGTTGTTGTTGTTGCTGCTGCTGCTGCTGTTGCTGCTGTTGTATATATTCTTTTTGTTGTGAGATCAGCGTCTGTGTCGTTGGTTGTTGCTGTTGTTGAACAGGCTGCGATGCTTGTTTGCGTTTCGTACTGGACGTTTTCATTTTAGCAAAGAATGGAGGCTCTTGATTCACGTCAGACATCACGCTATCCTCGTCCTCAGACAGGCCACTTTGCCTGCCACTGCTCCATTCAGTTTCGGATTGCTCTGGATCGGATAAGGATTGAGACTGATGGCTTCGCCTCTTGGCTTTCTGTAGAATTCCGGACACAGTCGACACCAGGATATGCTTCTTCTTTTTTCTGGCGGTTTGACCCCTGCCACGGCCTCTGACCATGGCTGCTTCCGCTGGAAGTCTCTGTTGCTGCTGCTGCTGTTGCTGTTGCTCCTGGGTCATGTCCAGATCTTCCCTCCTTACGCCGCCGGGCAACGAGTGACTCCTGTGTCTTTTACTGAGATGCAAGTCGGGCAACCAATTACTCATCGAGCTCATCGCGTTCTTCAGGGAAGAACCCCGTCTGATTTTCTTGCCAGCTTTCGCATTCTCTATCTCATGATCCTTCAAGTTGCTCGCAATGCTTATGTATCCTGATTGCGACACTATAACGCTGGAGGCGTCGTAGTATTCACTCGGTTGATGTTGCGTTTGTTCGATTCCTAGTAACCTCGTGGTTTCATGATCTTGCATATACTGATGTTCCCTTTGCCGCTGCCTCTGATACGCATCGGTCAGTTGTGCGCTTTCTGTGCTGGTCAGTCTTTGACTGTACGGTTGATATTGCTGCTGATAAGATTGAGAGTAACTCTGGTTCGCGTACGTGTGGTGATACTGATGATGAGCCTGATATGCCGGCGGCTGAGGATACCTCCTGTCAGTATACGGACTTTGAGAGTAACTACCGTCGGAGGTTAAGGATCTGATGCTGGAGGACGTCGAGTCGTGAGGTATCTGGTCCTCCATCGAATTCAACCACGAAGTTTCGTTCGTTTCGGTGCGCGGTAAATTAGCGCTGGTCGGGTAATACGACAAGGCATCGGTTATATTACCCGTGGGGAACATTGTGCGATACATTGCGGCTTTGTAACCTTCGTGATTCGTCATTCCGTCTGTCGTATATACACTCCTCAACGGTTTCTTAGTGTGCGTTATCGCACCCGACTCGGTGTACTGCACACCGGCATAATTCTCCTGGTAGCTGTTGTACTGATCCATCACGTCGGGATAATAAGCGGATGTGGTGGTTTTCGGTCCATAGCCCCCAGCGCTACTCGTGTACACACTCGTGATCGCCTGTTGTCGATTGCTGCCGGCCACGGAGTAAATCGCCGGTTGTTCCGATCTGTACACGTAATCGATCGAAGTTCCAGGTGGCACTGTATCGTACGTATGCTGTAGTGTTTGTTGGCGTCTTTTCTTCGGACTCTGACAGGTGGTCGCGATCGCAGCTGGCAAGGACACAAAGTTGTACTCTTCCTTCGTGCTGGGCGTTTTTATAGACGCGTAACCGGACAAATGGTTCATAGCGATGACATACGAGTGGCTGGTGACGGCAAACGTGACTGCGGTTGTGCTAGCGAAAGCGTCTCTGCCCTCTGGGGTATCGTAAAGTGGTTCTTGCGTGATGATGGACGCGCTTGTCTCCATGAGAGGTGGAATTGGACTGGCTAATTTGACGGTAGTCGTACTCGGGATTAAAGTCGATCTGGCGTGGTCCATCGAGTACGATGTAAGCATTTTGCTGATAGTACTCTTCGGGGAGCTCGGTGATTTGTCCAGGCTGCTCCATCCGCTCATAGAAGATAGGCCGGAATCAGATTTCGCCGCCACGATGTTTGCCACGCTCGGTTTCACGGCGTGTTTGGGCGAGACTCGCGGCGATTTAGGTGAATGCGGAGTTCGTGGACTCAGGCGTCCCTGTTCCAAAGATACCAGCTTTTCCGTGCTCCTCAGGAACGTGGGACTCTGAACTCGTTTCGATTCCATCTCCCTCTGATCGGACCCTGGCATCAGGAACGGTTCCGCGTTGTCTCGAGGAGCTGGTGGTGGTGGAGAACTAGGTGAAGGACTCGGCGGTGTTCTGCTTTCTTGGAACTCGAGATTTAATCGTGCGGCGCTACCGAAATAGCCATCCTGCCTGGTTCGAAGACTCTGCACGCTGTGTACGCTGTGGACACTGTGAACGCTTCCCGCCGAATGAGTAGGAGACGGCACTTTGTCAGTAGTGGTGCTGAAAATCGTGGGCGAAGCACAGGTGACAGCCGCGAAACTTTCCACCATCAAATCAGTCAGTTCTTTGTTTTCCGCATATCCCTTGACTAAATTGCCAACGTCAATCGGCAACTGGATCACGGGGTCTGGACTTTTTTCGCGCACGGTCGAGGTGTAACTACCTAACCTGGATGAAGTATAGGTACTTGAGATGGAATCCAGGTTCGTTCTGGACGTAGAACTCAGTCTTGGGGAAATTGACCTAGTCGTGAAGTCGCCGTCGGTAGCCAGACCACTGTCAGTGCTAACTCTGGAGATAGATCTACCGGTAGATCCTGGACTCTTTGAAAATGTCCAACTATCAACGTCCGTTTCAGCATAGATTTTTCTTAGCTGCTCGTCTATGCTGCTCGCCTCTTCCGCTAACTTCGCCTCGGCCTCGGTACTGTACTGCCTCTTCGGAGACTCCATTAATTTCGACTGTAGCTCTATCAAATCCTGCGAATCTTTTGCAAATTTATTCGTTAACCTGTCTATTTCGTGTAGGTTCTCCAAAGCCACCTGATCGATGGAGCTAAGCCTGGAGAGCTGAGCCAGGTCTTGCTCGCTGACGCAAGGCGTGTTCCCCCGATAGCTTTTGTAATCAGCCGCGCTGAACACTTCGCCCTCGTCCTCGTCAGCTTCATCTTCCTTTTTTGTAATCGCTTCTTGAATTTCCTCTTTCGTCGGCTTTGTCAATTCCTTGGTCAACTCTTCGAGTGCCTTCTCTTTAGTCGCAGTCTTCTCGAAAATGTTCGTATCCTTCTTCCCCGTGTCGAACATATCCATCTCCTTCTTTCCGTTCCCATCCTCGTCCTCGGCCTCCTCCCAAATCATTCCCAGCTGCGACGTTGGCCTGGACGTGTCGCCGCAGATCAAATCTTCCCGGTACGCATTGTTCAGACTCCTGTAAAACGCTTCATCAACGTTGGTCTCCTCGGCTAGAGTCTCCAGAGCGTCCAGGTTCCTCACGTTTCTGTGCATATCAGTAACGACCGCGGCAGCAGTTGAACTGTCCTGCGTAAGACCGTGCATCCTCGCGATCTCCTGTTGGGTCAACTTCTCCCTGATCGCGTTCGTCTCCTCGATGCCCATCGTAGCTTCTATGCTCTTTGCGATGGCGTCTATCTCGCTGACGGAGCTCGGCTGATTCACTAGTGCCTCCTCTACGACGTTCGTAGTCTCACTATGTGTCCCGCTGCTTGTATAGAACTCGATCAATTGACTAATCACTGTTTGTTGTTCATAAAGAAGACCCTCGAGTTTTTCTAGCCTTTCCCACATCTTGATGTACTCCTGGCTGAGGAGATCCAACGCTCTCCAGGCGTACCTTAGTTCCTTCTCCAACGTGTTCAACCTTGTGCCGAGTCTCTCCATGTAATCTCCGATTATGTAATCGATGTTGGTCTCCGTCGGAGTGGCGCCGAAAGCTGGTAAAACCGGCGAGTGAGCCCTTGGGCTGGTTGGGGCTGGCCCACCCAGCTTCGTCGAGTCCATTTTCATCAAGTTTACGTTTCTCGAAGCAGCAGATGTTCTTTATGATTCTAAGATCCGATGCGATTTTTAGGATGGCCCTCCTCACGATTCATCTTGTGTATCGTGCGAATTGTAACGTAAACGAGATTAGAATGGACCAAGAAGAAACATTCGCGACGGTTTAACGAATGTCTCGGTGATGATACGGGAATTCGAAACACTGTGCACGTTGTCGATCTCCATGTCCATCTTTTACGCTACCATCGTTTTTCACTGTTCACACGTCAAGCAACTGTTTACACTTTTGTCCATACACTCATACTACGTGTACTATATTGTCACTAGTGTCTATTTGTCCTTTATGTGTCCTTTACCCTTTTTTTGTATCACACTAGAGTTGCGTAGACAAAGTTTGATAATATTGTCGACCGCGATCTAGATGAATCGTTCGAGATCGCGCGACACACTTTGCGAAATGGGCACTTCGAAACCAGTCTCGTGCGTTCATGCCGCTACCGCCGTCGCCGCCACAGTTATCTGCAAAATAGGAGCAAACGGATTGCCGTGGCTTAGTACGAGACGTGCTCGTACCGAGCCACCGCTGACACAGTTTCCATGGTGCTAAAAACGTAATGCTGTCGAAAAATTAAGTTCCTGTCAAATGAAACAAGAACTTCGTCAGAAAGATCCACGAGATGTTGGTCTATTTTGGTATCGAATCAATGTATTTCATATTTAATACATTTGATTCATCTTGTTTATGTGTGTCAAATGAATGGAAAGTAACGAAAACCATGAAAAATGTCGCAATTAAGTACCGCACAGAGAGTTTGTAAATTGAATGATTACATTGTGAAAATAATAAGCTGTGTTTCGTGAGAAATATATCATGCAATGATGTGTAGAACTAACGAAGGATATGTGCAATTAACACTTCCTCCGTACTTTAATTAATACGACTGTTCGACATTAATTGCCAATTATAATCGTAACAAAAATAGAATGAGAGGAAATATAATAAGTATTTCATCAACACAATTTTTTTATTTTCCTGCAATTAATCTGAACGAACATGTCGACATTTTCACATCTTGTAAAACAATCTCCAAATTCCGTTGAACTATCATAAAATACGATGGATGTGAAATCCGTTCGATTAGCTTGTTAATGAAAACTATTCTTACAATTGTAAGACAATTGAAATCCATGTTTAAACGTTATGGTGATAACGAAATTCATTATTGTAATTTCCCGTGCGTCGTATCCGCAATCAGATCGGGCTCAGCAGGATTTCTTAGGCTAGCAACATTGAATCAGGGAGGGCCATTAAACGTGCGCCCATGTGTTCCCGCGCGCTGATGCATTAATTAAAGCTCATATCGTTAAGCATTGATGTAATATGCGACACGAGACGACGCGCAACGTGACGCGTTGTAAAACGTAAAAATCAAGTTTTCTTTTCAGTTATATTGGTAATTTTAGATGAATCTAAATAAACCTATGGTTAGTATTCAGAGTCGTTACTTATTTTTAAGATCGCCTTAAGCATTTCCTATGTCTATCCATTCCATAGATTAAAGAAATAATAATTCTCAAGAGACAGAGAAATTATAAAAATTATTATTCTATTAAAAGTATTGAAGAATAAAAAATGATAGAAAATATAAAACTATAGAAATATTAGTTCTTAAGGGATATAGAAGTCATAAAAATTAAGGGACGCACGCGACGTGTGACGACGCGCAACGTGACGCGTTGTAAAAGGAGTAATTACTGACTGCTTTCAGATTGCATTCTTATTATTTCGATTTCACTTCGCAGTTACGTTCGTGGTCTGCGTGATTGTTCGATAAATATACCTTTAAATGATACGAAATAGATAAAGGATGTGACTACTTCAATTCGAAATCGTTTTTAATAACGACAATAACGAAATTTTATAATCTTCAAATAAACCAGTCAATATTCGCACATTAGATTAGAACAATCTTTATAAACACATAAATCTACTTTCTGCTGTCTTCAAATCATACAGTAATTCATATGAAATCATGGATTAAATCAGTGACAGAGGAGATAGCGTGAAGGGACAGCATGTCAGGCGAACCGATTGATCTGTTGTTTCTTTCCAAGCATGAAAGTATTGATCTTTGACCTGACACGATTTAATTCATGTTGCACGCAGATCTACAAGGGAAAGAATTGTGCTGATCCGGACAACGGTCACAGATAACATTTCCACCAACGTTTCTGTTAAAACATATACTTTAACTTAGAAGTTAAATATTTTTTTCTAAAATAATTGAAAATATCTTGTATCATAAATTGTTACATATAAATCACATATATTTTTTCTGTATTTAAAGTATACTTGTCTCATTTTATTTTCCTCCAATTTTTTTATACAAGAGTATGTAATATTTAATACTGCCATTTTAATACTGGCTTGGACTTATATCTAAAGCCAGGATTCCGGATGAAGACAATATTTGTTCATTCTCCTCTTAGTAGGAGGTTAATACCGATATAACTGCACAATGCGTTCCAGGCTTAGCGTTGCTTATATTGTATCGAAAAATCGATAGGTCCGCAGGTAAATATTACAAATATTATGCAACCGTTGTCGCATAAACAAGAAACGATATTCTCTCTCTCTCTCTCTCTCTCTCTCATCGTGATTCTAACGAAATACTTGAGTAGTTGAAGATTACGCGTTTTCTACGTCGTCGCGTTGCAATAAATCAATAGCGCATTTTTCAATTGGACCAATGTTCCGTTTCTAAATGCGAGTTAATGAAATATTCTTGAATACCAGAATGCAAGTGGAATGAAAAATCCGTTTCATTTGTTTTCATTTAAGGAAATAATTTTTATTTAAAATTAAAGTACTCTATTAATATTGAGGACACGTGTCTGTGTAAGCATTTCATAGCAATGATTTCAAACGGTTTTCAGATGAACTGTTCTTGACAGAATTGTCATGCATATCCGTCAATCAGATTCAAATACAAGTGGTTGACATTTTTGAATAATAAAAATTTTTGGACTTCCGAGGAAAAATTGCTCTCAGTTTTATTATTTTGTTAAAAGGTATTTTTCGATTAGTGAAGTGTTGTCAGTCAATACTAGAAGAACTATATAGTGTTAATCTCCAGTCATACAAGAAATTACTTTCATACATATAAATTTAGTTCTTCGTATTTTTTATAAAAGGAGCGTAGTTATATTCAGAAAGTCACGTAGAGGCAGATTTATAATTCTCATATTACAGCTTAGATGAAAGATTGGAGCTATAAATATAACGAAAAGTCTATTACTATCACTGTGATTTATTTCCCAACGGAGCCAATTTCGTTTAAAAAATTTAAAACGCAATGGTGAAAAAAGCGAGTCCATTAGGAAGTGAAAACTGACAGAATTGAAATCGGAAAGTTTTAGTAGTTGACCTTCCAATATTACCGTTTACAGTTTCCGGAAAATAGTGTATCTGTCCGATTCAATAAAGCCTTAAATGTATCTATCCTGTATAAATGGAAATTCGGTCGAACTGAATTCTTTTATCTCGTGGTATGAATTGGAAAGCAGGAAAAAGAGCAAGAAAAAAGATTATCCTAAGACAATGCACTGTGTTTCATGTTTTATGTATAGTTGCATTTGTCGAATCAAAACCACTGGTTTATCATAATTACGTAAGAATTGACATAAAAAAAATAGAGAAAATGCATTTAGAGAACGTAAAAATTGCTTTAAACTTTAGATATTAGAATAATGTCAAAGAATTGATATAAAATTTTTTTATTCACTCAAGATCTAAACGAATCAGTTGTATTGATCAATGATTCAATATTGATGTGACCTTTAAAGGCAATCACGATTTTATTTACAGAAAGCATATTCACAATCCATAGAAAGAAATTGTGGAAAATGAAAATAGAATTCGTTATGCAGAATTAGGTGAATCTTTGAGCTGGGCTCATTAATTCGTGGAGCTGTCAGAAGTTTCCAACAAACTCGTGATCTCTCAAGCTGTAATAAACTGGATAACTGCGGTGGGATGATGCATCTGGATCAACCAGAAGCTGTACGGGAGGTACACTAACGATGCAAGTTGTAAGATGAACTTGATATGCATCGAAAGGCATTGGTCATGGCGGATATCTAAGAATTTTACTCTATACGTCTTTCGAACAGCGTACACCTATATTTAGTGAACAAGTTGAATTTGTGGTATAACTATTGTGTTATAAACATTATCTCGATTTTCCTTATAAAACTGCGTCTTGTTACAGAAGATTGCCAATGTATTTAATCTTTTGCTTTATTCTAATTTCCAAAAAATATTTGAAAATTCATAAGCAACAACAGCAAGAAGTTTATCACGAGGTAAGAAAAAAGATTAATACAAAACTATGCCACCGTGATACTAACCGTATCAAAATTCCTGGTGGTTGGGTTAAAAAGAAAAATGCATGTCGGGGCTGCAGCCACAGAGACCAGACTAGACGTTCGTGGAACAGGCTAACGTTGACAGGAAAAGGAAAAAGGATGCGGAAGAAAATAGGTTGACCGTGTAATTACTCACACCCAGTTAGCCGTTTGCCATTGTTTCGAAAGTTTCTAGCCCCGTGGGCGCAGCCGGTCTTGCGCTTAAGCTGCTTAATGCAATCATAAATTTTAATTTTCAATTTTGTTGCAGACGAACGTTTCGCCTTCTTTTTTTATTTTTTGTTTCCTTTCTTTTCCTTTGGCGGTGAATTTAAAAAGAAGTGAGTATCGATTTATAGTAACGAAACGTTGTCTAATAATTATTGAGTCTTAAATTACGAAAAATGCATTATTCTTAATTTAGTTTTAATTTTCTGTGGAAATGAATCGACGTGACCTGTGCGACCAACGAGATCTGTGCTTCGGAAAATTATTTGTTAGGCATAAGATAAAATATAAAAGATAAAACAAGGGAATAAGTGAACAACGATAATAAGATTATTAATTTGGCTCATAATTGTGACACATTATATTTAATTGTACAGTACTTGATTTAATACTAAAACAATGATTCGTCTTGTAGAAACATTACGTATGCCAAAAAGTAAACTATTTAATCAAATATTTCGTAAAAAGGAAATGAAGGTCCTTAAATAATCATGGTTGAAGATCGAGACATTTTTTTTTTAGGAAGAATGATATCTCTCCCTTCAGAAGACCAACTGGAAATAGGATTAGTCCCTCGTGTTCCCTTCCTCGCGTATCTTATTTCCTGCGTAACCTTCAACCTACGTATCTCACGAGAATAGGTACAAAGGATACGGGGGAAAAATCTATCCTCAACGATCACCGTAACGAGATTGCGTATCTACTCGGAACGTCTTATAAGTGAAGCAGGATGAGCTTTTCGATTACCACAGAGAAGCAACGATATACGTTTCTTATAGTATCTACATATTTAGATAAATTATTGTATTGTTCTCCTTTCTTTTTTTTAAATAATCAACCTATTTTTTTACTTTATTTATCTAACAAACTATGTACTATTTTTG